AGCTGTCCTATGGAATCATCTGAAGTGGTGGAGTAACCAACGCACATTTAAAAGACCTTGAGGTATTGTAATAATGGATATTAAAAGTGATACATGAAAAAAAAATAACATATCCCACGAATCTGTTATACAATGAAACTTTCACTCTTGATATACGACAAATATACGGTTTTATTATAATAAAGAATATCCATGTAGGTAAAATTAAATTGCAAATTCATGTTTATCCAACAGGTCACAAACAACAACATTATTATGGGATATCTTTAAAGGAAAGGTTTGAATTATACATAACATAGAGGAAGATGGAGTTTAAAAAAAAGCTCACGCCGAGAGAGGGATTTTAGATGAGTACTTTGATTTTATTATAAAGTGTTCTTCTCCGGTAAATCAAGAAAAAATGTATGTTTTTACTTTCTATTACTAATAGACCATCATGTTTTTATTTGTATAAACGACAGTACCTAACATCTGAAGCATTTGAAAAAAGACTGATCAACTAATTCGAACGTTTTCGATAGATGTAACGAGCTTGTACGTAGATATATTGGAGCTTGGTTCATTTATGAAGTTATTAAATATACTAAGTGACATAGAAAGAAAAACCGTATTAATGAATTTGTTTACCAAGCTTTTATGGGTATATGTTTCTTTAGGTTAAAACAAAAAACGTCAGCTTTTCAAACATATCGATAATAGTCCAGTTAAATAGCCGAAACTGCCGCAAAAGTGATAACATAGCCACAAAGTTATGTCTGCTGGCGTAATGGTACAATAAAGGCTTGCGAATATTGTCGTAAGAGTTTGGTTTACCGGAAACCAGCCGTTTTTTGTAAAACAGCGAAAAACCCAAAAAACCTCTTTTTCGCTGAAACGGCTGAGGATATCTGGTATTTTTTTTACACGTACGTTTTTCTAATTTTTGGGACATCAAAAAGTTCTCTGCAATTGTTTGCTAAATTACTTAGTTTTGGCGCTACAGCTTGTTGGCGAGGGGCTTGCGGGGTCAAGGACGGCGTACACATTTTAGCAGCCGCCGCACTGTTGACGCGGACGATCTTCTTTTAATATTTGGACGTCCTCAGTGTCTCACTCTCAGTGATAGGCCAGTCGATTTCGAACAATAAGCTCGTTTGTAGATGTGGCGTTCACCGACGTATGCATATTAATGAATTTTTGAAAATTATGCGTTTAAGTAGAGTAGAAGATGCAGTAATTTCTCTTCAGCCGTTTACCGATTGACCTGATAAGTGAGGTATAGTATTTTCATTTAGAATTAAAACAACGACAAAAAACCTAGAGCTCCAAAAAAGGTGTAAGCGTGTATATAAATGAGTGGCAATGATAAGAATACATTACAGGATGTCAAAGGCCCAATGAGTTGTCAAAAGACTCGAGTCTCCACGTTATTTTCATAATCATCCTCTCAAATCAGTTTGATCACCGGTAGTTCTTGATCTACAACCATCTATACGTTGAGCTAACATACGCCAACACAAATATGTGAAAAATGTACAATGAGCGATTGTGATAAGCATTTGATGATGTCTTCTCAGCACACTCGCTGTGGAAACCAATAATAATACCCATTGCTCTGCTGTACAACTTATTTGCAGAGGACTTCACACCTTTTTGTGCAGCTCAGGGATTTTTTGCGTTTCCAATTATAGATAGTGGAAGGACTATAAGTATGTGTGTGTGTATATTTCAGAGTTGAGTTCATTGAACAGAAACATAATAATAAAAAACGTTCGTCATACCATCCTCAGTTTGCCTTAGCCCTCACTCCTGGACACCGAACTGATTGACTGGCTTAGTGCAGAGAATGACTGAACTGGGACCTCGAATGGTCCCTCTAGTGATGTATTTAGATTTTGTATGGGAGTGCATGACGGCCGTGCAAAGGTGAGAAGGCAACGATGCGAAAGACGAGATCATCAATTTTCCATAGAAACGCGTGTGTACCACACTGTTGGAATTATGGTATCGAGAGCTACTGCTTATAGAAGCAGGTTACATTTCTTTCTCATCAGAGGCAACATGATTGGAGTTGGAAGTGGAAGTTAAGCCTTAGATACGGATGCTCAGAAACCAAATTTTCCAAGAAGATAATCCACAACCACATATAGCCAGAATTACGTTGGTGCATTTTGAAGACAATCAAGTTGATTTGTTGCCTTGGCCCTCAGATCTCTCAATCTTTCACCCATTGAACATGTCTGTGACATTATGGGAAAAATATTAGGTACTCCATTTACCCCATCCTCCTCAAGAGAAGATTGATCATTATAAGACATCCTGGAGACCCAACAAATTATTATTATTTTTTCACATTTTATTCACGGACGGATTTTTCTGATTTTATACTTATCTAACCTAAGGGACGTGTAGGTATATAGAAAATTGTAATGAATTCATTATTACTGGTTGTTTTTTTTTGCCACTTAGTATATATTAAAACGATGATAGAAACGTATCCTCCATCCTCATGTACCAGCAATATGGACATACTTTCTAGTGTAGGTCAGATTATGTGAGATACTATATATAAAGCTCAACTTCTGAACAGATTTATTTCAATTAAGAGTGAAGTGAGTTCAAGCTAGCCTCCATTCCGCCAAACCGTTTTACATAAATACTTAACGGCATTACAATTGTTTGTAAAATGACCTGTAAACCTATTACTCGATGCACGCGGCTAAGCCAGCCGTATTAAAATTTACTTCGCTGCAAAATCGATTTATTACACGCGGATTAGGTCTAAGCTATTTTTAAAATTACACAATATCATTCATTACTGACTGAACGGATATTTCGGGAATGGTACATAATGATCACTATTTTAAGCAGTTTACATGTTTGGACTTAACATCCCTCATGGTCCCATCAGAATCTGATAATCAGCAGGGTTATTACGTAAAACCTATACGTCAAAAAACGACCTACTAATGCCATTTTTCAAGATACGTAATGCCTCTGCCGTATAGCATAACATTTATAACACGACCATCGAGATTTTTACTAGATACGTTGATTCGTTTATAAGTTCTTGAAACTCGGTAACTCCTAAGGAAGACGACCTAACATAGTTTCGACAAATTTTTAGTAACTTTTCGGAGATCTAGCACACCCGCCAACTTTTTAATTGAATAAGGCTCCGATAACCATACGCTCGTCACCTTTAGGAAACTTACCAATTATTTACACAAAAAAATCTGATTCTGTTAAGGGTGCTGTGAAGTTTTTAACTTTTTAAAACCCCTCTGAAATTTAGTACTTGGGTATAACTATAACTTAAGTATATAAAATTCTGCCCAAAGAACCTCTACTGTTAAAAGTTTTGCTGGTTAAATTGGTGTAGTGTAGGTATTATGGATACCAAATGAATTCAGTAAAAAAAAACTGGTGTCAAGTAGGTTGATTATGCACTTTCCACGCAACGCTGTCATTATTTCACAAGTTACGAACATGTACGACAAAAAACTAAACGTCCCAAGTCCCTTAAACAGGCCCATATAATTAGTCCATACAAATTTTTCTCCAGCCCTACCATGTGTAATGACCATCTGGACACAATGGCAGCCTCCAGCGATTACGAAATAACGCAACACATACCAAATACAGCAATGTTCTTCTATTTTATTCAAAAACTTGCACGTTTGGGCATCTACAGGGCGCCCCCGCGCCTTACTCTAAATTTGCCTTTACCTGGAGCATTGCTGTATGCTAGCTGATGTGCCGTGACGCCACCTACCTTTTCATCTTTAGTAGATACTACCTCTCCGTACTTTGACAATATAACTGGGAATACCCTAGCTTACGCCACGCAATTGTGTAGTGAACCCATCCAGTCTTATGCTGAGGCTCATGTCGTTACTCTTGATATCACGAAAGCGTTCGATCAGCTGTGGCATGAGTCCCTCTTATGCAAACTTCCATCCCATGCCGTCAAAATGGAGCAGATATGTGGCTAACTTTCTCTGTGGCCGCAATATATCCGTCGTAGTTGACGGCTTCTCCTTTTCATCCCACAACGTAGATGTTCCCCAGAGATTGGTCTTGGCTTCCTCTTAAATATCAGCGACCTGCTCTTCTGTACAATAAATCCAATCCACAGCTTTGCTGATGACAGTTCTCTACAGGCAGGCATTCAGAGAGAGAAGGCGATCTCTGCCGGTGATCTGGAGAAAAGAACACTAGCAGCGACTTCCTCCCTGACGAGAGATCTGGAGGTTATCACTGCTTGGGGACGCAACATTGTTGTACAGTTTATCGGTAAAAGCGTCCTAGCGCTCATCCGGTTTGGACTGATGGCCAAGTTCTACCTATGAGCCGTTCATTTCTGCTGGTCCGAGTACAGATCACCAAGGACTTGACCTTGCACGAACACACCTCGTCAATAGCGACAGCTGCTGGGAAAAAGCTAGGCTATTTGTGTAGGACTAAGAAGTAATTTCCTCTACTTGACCTCCTCACTCTGTACAAGGCCTAGATAAGACCTAGCCTTGAGAATTCCTCACATATTTGGGGTGCTGACGCCCTAACTACATTATCCATGTTCGATGCTGTTCAGAGGAGAGATGTCCCACTGATCGACGACTCTTCTCTAACAGACTCTGGACCCTTTGACACTGACAGACCTCGGCGATCTAGATACCTTCTGCCGCTACGTCAACGGTCTTTGCTCCTTAGAGCTCCTCCATGATGCCGCCGCGCGATGTGACTGCCAAGCAGACCCGCCTGACTTTAACCTCCCATTCTAACCGTGTCGAACTTGGTACATCCAGAACTAACCTTAAGGTATCGAGGTTGTGGAACAGTCTGCTTGAGGAGGATTTTTCCAGTTCTACTAGGTAACCTTCGGCAGTTCGAAAGATCGAAAGTCCGATTAACAAAGTTTTTTTCTGATTTTTGCTATTGTAACTTGGGAACTCATGAACAAACAGTACCATTCCAATTCAGGCATAATTTATTTGGAGGTTTCTCATAATTTTTGTTTGTTTCAGATTTCGCTCGTGTGCCGTGCTCCATCATCAATATCAGCGCGATCGTCAGGTGACGTCATCATAAGCGAAAGTAATATAGGCGGCGGGTGAGGACGGGCTTCCCCATCGTATCCCGCCGCCCGCCAATTCGTTGCAGCAGCAACGGCGACGCCCAGCATCGGAGGCGGGGCACCAGCAGCGTCAGGAGGCAGCAGCGCCAACGTGGCAACGTCGCAAACAGGCTCCGCCTCTTTAGCAGGTGGCTCCGCCTATTCGGCTGGCGTCCCGCCCCCTCCGCTTGCTGCCAATATCAGCGCGCAGGAGCATCAAGCTAGTCCCGCCCTAGGGGTGCGCTGGGATCATAGCCACCCGTACGATGTACAAGATGGCGGCAGAGAGGTACCTGCCTAGATTTTTTCTTTATGGGATATTCTTGAATGATGTCTTCAAAAGTTGAATTGTCTTGAGAGTTAAGACCTTTGTCCAAAATTACTTATTAAAAGAGACCCGGCTTTTCAGTCACAGGTTAACTACGACTTTGGTCTTAACTTTTAGTTATCTATAAAAAATCGTTTTTTTTTAAATATCCTATTTATAGTAAACCCGTAGTAAACTTTAACCAGAAGACTACTTATAAGTTACCTAGGAAAGCTTGTGGTTAGATAGCGACACCTGGCGTCTGTTAGCACAGACTTGGTGTGTATTCTAAAATTCAAAAATTCATATCAGATAAATTAAAGTTGAAGCTAAAACATGTCTATCGATTACGACGTGAATACATATATCAGAGACGAAAAGTTAAGAAGGCAAGAAATAACCCGCCATCGACCGAATTACTTTGACGAATTTGACAACCGGGATTTCCTTGCAAGATATCGCCTTACAAAAAGGACTGTAGAAATCTAGCTTTTCCCTTTCTAAGAAACTATGCCACTTTTGTGCTCTCTATTATGCTTTTGTTTTTACTGAGCTGTTCTCCTTCTCCATGCTAGAAAAGTTTTATAAAATTTTACAGCAGGAATAGCCGTATTTTTTTCTCCGCTACTGAAGACCTTTATTTTTGGGTCGTGCATTATGGAAGCGATGCCAAAAAAGTGGCTAACACGATATCTAACAGATACAACAAACTTAATTATATTTGCAGCTTATTTTATGACCTATGTAAGGTTGATTAGACATTTTATTTGCCACCTGTTTTTAGCACCATATCTATAATCCCATTTATGGGGTATATTACTAAGCATTTGTACAAGCAGTGTTTGAAAAACCTCACCTTACTTGACGAAGGTTTTATTCAAATTTCGACTAATTAACAAAATTTTATTAAAAAAAGACGAGCTGTCACGAGGCACAGACGCCGAGCGCACAAAACGCACAGAATGTCTAAGACCCGCAGATGCTGGGTTGCAAGGTAAATACATGATGAGCTTCTGGTAAGTTAACTGGCGCTGTTAAAATTCTTGAAAAACGCATTCATAGGCAACCACAAGTTAACTTCCTGGTTATAGTTAACTAACCAGCAATTTAACCTGCGATTGAAAAAGCGGACTTTGACCTTTGATCAACAGGTATAGTTGGTTTGTTCAAAACTACAAATAACACACCTCTCAGAAGAACTTAACGAATTCTTGACCTCTAGCACAAATCCAGAGGTTCTAGCTTACCTTATAGTAACCTAAAGTATATATCAAAAGTTCCTCCTGAGTTTGCAACATAGATGTGTAAAACATTAGTAAGATGTCTACTAAATAACCCTATTGTACACATTGAGGCTACAACAAATGTTTGTTCAGATTTCGATATTGACACTGACTTTGAAAGAAAAGTTCAATTTTTACGTACTTTGAAGTACTGTCTTTACTGAAGTTAAAAATACTTGCAAATATGTATTTATAGTTATAGTGCCCTCCCCCCTCTGACTGTTTAGTTTTCGGTTCTTTGAATTTGTAACGTGCTTGCCTCTAAGCGTGCTAGTTTCTTCAGTCATATTTAAATCTAATTTAAAAGTTACCCGAACATTTAAACCGGAAGAGGCCTAAAGTGAATAGGTACACTTCACATTACTACCGGGTTATTAAAAAAACAGCTATCACGATTTTTTTAAACGCGCATGCGCGTTCAATTCAAATATCGTAATAATAGTGCGTTCCACTCAATATTCGGAGTGTCTGTTACAGAACGTAATTTTGAAGTTACCTTTTACTTCTCTATGACACATTTCAAAACCTACCCTTTTTCTTGGTACAAGCTGAATAAGGGATTTCAAAAAACCACACAGTGTAGTAGCGTATAAACCACAGAACAATCAAAATCAAACACCATATGCTACTAATGAATGCACCCGGATACGTCCATATATTTCTCTTCCTGGATTAGGCAACGACTTTAATTTGAAAAAAGAGAACTTACATCAATCTGGAAAATTATTTAGTGTCAAATTGTTTGTCCAAAAATAAAAACCAGGACCCAGTTTCACCTTGGTTTGGAATTTGGCCTCTGAGTAATTATTTCAAATAGGGAAACTGGACTATCTAGTTAAAAATCCATGGTATTTCGACCTGGTAAAGATGAACTGTTGGTTAGAATTGATGAGAAAAAATCCCTACTGGTCTGAATTCTGAAAACGGCCATATTTGATATAACCTCTTTGTAATATTAAAAAATGAACATTAAATAATAATTGTTTAAATATCAAGTTACTCTTCCCAAAAATGCTTAAGCCACCCAGAAATATCATTTTGCATATAATTAGCAGCTTCTAACATTGAAGTGTACCTACTAAAAATACTAGTTAAAGAACTCACCTTTATCACGAGAAGTTTCAAAAAACTAGATCATTTTAGTTAATATCGCTGGGCGGCAAACGTATATAAGACAGTGACACATCCCTGGAAATATTGGTGAGACGAACAGCACAATCTGCACCATTTTCAGCCATTTTAAATTTACTACCAAAGGAAACTGTCAAGCTGTGTCAACTTCAGGACCAATAAAAGTAATATTTCAGCTGTGGCTTCACGCTATACTGAGTGTTGCTGCTGCTGAGTTGATATATATGCATGATGCCGAAGAAAAAAGTTAAAAACCAGATCTCAACGGAAAAATCAGATACAATGGAAGTTTACATTGTTGGAAACTTGGACACTCAGAAGATTCTAGAAGAAAATAAACACTTAAAACAGATATTAGAAGAAAAGGATAAACTAATACTACAGTTGAGCAATGAAAATGGAAGACTACAAGAACAGTACAATTTAGCGACATCAGCCATACACGAAAAAGGTACCGTTGAAACAGTGATAAATAAAATAAATCAAAGATTGACTGAAATTGAGAAAATTAAAGAGAAATCATATGCCCAAGTACTAAAGCGAGTTCCTCCAACAATCAAGAAAGACCCAATGCAGAACATAATTGTCACACCAAATGGTATCCAAACATCTGAACAAACGAGAAAAGACCTTAACAAAAAAATTAGCCTTGCGGATTTGAAAATACAAATAGAAAATATACGAAATTCTAAAAATGGAGGAATTATAATTAAACTGGCTGAGGAACACCACAACACACTTAAAACTGCATTCGAAAAGAAATTAGGAGATGAATACAAAATCACAGAACCTACAATGTTTAGACCGAAGATCAAAATTGTCAATTATAGATGCACGGAGAAACCACAAGAAGAAGACATAGAATTAGATCTTATCCAACAAAATCATTTTATTGAAAAATATGACATCAAAATCAAATATGTAAAGTATCTCCCATCGAAAAAATGTTACACATTATTTGCAGACATTTCTGGCAAATTATTCAGGGCAATATTTGAAGATAACAATGGAAAAATTCTTCGTGGATGGCAATGTTTACCAGTGTATGATAATAACGAAATAACGCAATGCAAGAAGTGTCTTCGCTTCAATCACACCGAGAAAAAATGCCGCAATAACAAGACCTGTACCAACTGCAGCAAAGAGGATGTACACGATACTGACTGTTGTATGCATGAACCGGTTGTATGTTGTAATTGCAAATTTTCAAACTATAGATATAACAAAAATTATAGTACCAACCACTCACCATTAGATAAAAAGTGTTCAACTTTTCTATATTATCAACAGCAGTAAAACTTGAAAATCCTTTTTTAAGAAAGAAGAAATTTTAGCCAAAATTTTAGAATATTGCATCATTTATGACACACGACTATGTAAATAACTTCCAAATTCAACGTATTAGTACTAATACTGCTCATGATACTAGCGAGCTAGATTCTTTTTTAGAAAATCCTGAAATAGCTGTTAGAATTTATCATATGAACATCAGGAGTATAAAACATAACTTTGACTACTTTAAATTAATTTTGAAAAGAATACAAAGTGATATAGATATAATCATTCTATCCGAAACATGGCAAGTGGGCGATGTGACTCTGTTTCATTTAGAAGGGTATGATACATTGTATAATTTTGGTAACCATAATCAAAACGATGGAGTGATGGTGTATGTACGAAACAATCTGCCTTATAACCATACCATATTTACAATCAACAATGAACTAAAAGGTATCAATCTAACAATGCAAATTGAAAATCGTAGAGTCAAAATTACTTGTGTTTACCGACCACCATCTTCAGATCCTCATACATTTATAAGAGACATAGATGAACTATTAAAAAGCAATGAAAACAATCACCTTCATAATCAAATATTTATAGGCGACATCAATATAAACATTTTAGAGGAAAATTCTATGGTGAAAGAATATTTAAACATTTTATCAAGTAATGGTTTTTTATCATACATAAATAAAGTAACACGACCCACCAGTAAAACCTGCATTGATCACTGCTTTATAAAGGATATTTCCAATATTTTTTCTTACATGCCTATTATCTATGAAACCGATATTACAGATCATTATTCCACTGTATTATTGATATCTTCACAAAATAAAAACCAGAACTGCCCAAGGGCAAAAAATGAAAGAAACCTTGAATACAAATATTTCACTGACAACTCAAAATTAATATTTAACGCACAAACGGAATCGTGGGACGAAATTTTTTTAACAAATTCTTTAGACGAAGCTACAAATTTATTAATACACAAAATTCAAAAAGTAATTGAAGTTAGTACTAATAAGGTTAAAATAAGTCACAAGGAAAAAAACAGAAATGATTGGATGACCAAAGGACTAATAAAATCTGCAAACGAAAAAGAAAGACTGTATAAAATCATAAAATATTTACCCACGAAAGAAAATATAGATCATTATAATCAGTATAAAAACAAATTTATAGAACTTTTGAGAAAAGCAAAAAAAAAATACTATATAAAACAATTGAATAATAATTCACATGACTCTAGACACCTATGGTCCACTGTCAATGATATATTCA